AGAAGTGGGTAAACCAGAAGGTTGGTTGAAAACAAAAGCTTCTTTTTTGATCTATTAATTACTCCAAAAGGATTAAATATTCTTCTGCCTTACCTATTTTCTTGATCCTGTAACTAACATACACTGGAAAAAGTAAAGAGACCTCAAAAGAGTTCATCTTTATTAAATATTGTCAATCGTAAGCAATGATGACATTAACAAAAGAACAATCATGGTCATAATATGAACCACACAAACCATTCTCTCTACCATATGTATTTAACACTGCTAGTCCTCTGTTCACATGCTCAGACCTGAATAAATTAGAAGGTGTTTGTCCTTTAGGTGTTAACCTAAATGTCACTTCCTCTGGAAGGATTTCCCGGCTTTCCCTTCTTTTACACACTGAAGTAGATATTTCCCACCATGGGCTCACATGGAGTGGATGTGAGCACTCACAGAGCACCCTAGACATCCCTGCTACAAGAGTCATCGCATCTCATTGTTATTGCTTGCTTCATTAACTGTTTTTCCACTAGAGCATGAGCTCTATGAGGATAGCCACCATGCAAATCTTATTCACCATTTTATCCTCCAGGGTCCGGAAAAAACTAAGAATGTTATAAACAGTTGATAAGTGAAGGAAATAAAGGAAGAAAGAAGGAATGAAGGAGTTTTTCAAATATTAGGGAAGCCAATGGTTCGGTTTATTTAGTATTCAAAATGCAATCATATGGACAGTACTTTTGGAACTACTTCCCTTATGACTGGGATTTCACCAACTCCTTCTTGTGCTTATTGAATTGCTGAAAATAATATCAAAAAGTGTTATTTCCTCCTCTGATTCCTCTAGGAGATGCAGACACAAATCATAGAGTCCAAGTGACTTAAGCCAAAGTGGTTCTTCTTGGTTCTTATGTCATTGTTTTGGAGTCAGCCCAGGTATACACACTATACCATCTGCACTGTATCCTAAACATCTCTTACTTTCCCATCTGACTCTTGCTTACATTGTTAGATTCTCAACTCTTTCCCCTGACTCGTCTCCCAAAGTACAGATGATTATCCTTATTCTAATGGAAGGGAGAGGATGTGTAGATCATCCAAAGGAGTGGCTTGTCCAAACACTGTCTTTTTTTGGCTTTCAAATACATAATGTAGAATTTCATATACCAGAATTTGCCCACTGCTCAGAAAATTCAGAAATCTTCTGTAAGTGGCAGTCCAAATTTGAAAACCACAGCTGTTTTTAGCAATTGAGTCACTGCCTTTCAGATGCCAAAAATATCACCTACCATATTCCCCAGGGTTCAAAGAAAGAGGAAAGAGAAAAAAAGCAAAGAACAAGTTGAGGATAAAGGTAGCAGGAAGCTTCTCCAGTCATACAAATTATTATTAAAAATAACTATAATAGTGCTCGCTTCGGCAGCACATACACTAAAATTGGAATGATACAAAGAAGATTAGGGCCCCTGCAAAAGGATGACACACAAATTTGTGAAGTGTTCCATATTTTTACTGGAATAAAAATTAAAAATAAGAGAAAGAAATAAAAAAAACTATAGTAACTGAAATAACAATAATATTAGCAATAAGAACTAGCATTCAATAGCAATTAACAAAATAGGGCCTCATGTGACTTTCCTAATCTCCCTAAAAGGGAGAGATGATAGTATTCTTAGTACCCTCATTTTACAGATGAAGAAACAAATTAGAAAGGTTAAGTGGATAACCCAAGGTTACACAGCTAAGCCTGAGCTCCAACCCAAGCCATCCGACTTCAAATCCCGTATTCATTCTATCTCTTATTCAAACACAGTCTCACCACTGATTTATCTAACCACTCCTTCATGGATTGATTTGGGTAAGAAATCTGCTCTTTTCCATCACTGTAGGCCTAAGGGGAATCATTAGAATTTCTGTGAGCTTCTCAAAATAGAGTAGAAACAAAGATTCTACTTTTAGCTTTTGGATGAGGGTTCTAGGTATATACATATTAAAATCTTACTTAGCCCATCCCTAAACTGGTTTTGGAAGCTCCAGGAAAGAAGCTTGGCCAGTCTGTCCCAGTGTGCACCTTGGACTCTGATTTCCAGACCCCCCCTCCCCCACCCACACAGGACCTCAGGAACAGCCAAAGCAACTTTTTAACTGGCAAAACATGGTGACTATTCTCTGGTCTCCCAGTCCCCATCTCCCCAGAGCAGACCAGTACCTAGCACATCCTGGGCTGTGGCGAGAGATTCTCATCCTAGAGGCCTTAGCAACTGTGTCCAGGCTGTGCAGCCAATGGAAAGCCTACGCCATAAATCAAATCTTGGGGAATCTGTGATCCAGCAACACCTCCGGCAGATACCCATTTAAGGCAAAATCTGGCAGGAGCTTTGTAAAAGAGAGTTGGGAAAAGACAACTAGACAGGAAATTGAAGGGCTACTAAATGATACAGGGAGGATGAAACTGTGGCAGACAGTATTTTCCAAAGATGACTGCAAAAATCATTCTGGTCCTAAAGCTCTTCCAGAATCTTGCGACTCTCCCATCAAAAGGAGTTTATTTCCTCTCTCCTTGAATCTCCACTGGTCTTGCTGACTGTCTCAATGAATAGACTATGGTTGAAGTGAAGCCCTAAGACTTTGAGGGTAGGTTAGAAAAGGTGGTACGGCTTCCACCTGACTCTCGCTCTTGGGCATCTGACTTTTGAACCTTGATAGGAAACCCAGGCTACATAGAAAGTTCATACGTAGCTATTCCAGTTATCAGCCCAACAAAGGTGCTAGCTGACAGCTGGCATCAACTGCCAGACCTGTGAGTGAACAAGTCTTGTGACTTTGTGGACGAAGGAGAAGATGAGCTTAGCCACTTATTTCAGTCTCTGAACATTCTACGGTGGTTTAGAAGTATCCAGAGGTGGAGGGAGACGGGTAGTGCAGAGAAAGGGAAGAACCTAACTCCCAACACCTTTGTCTTAGTTCTGACCTAGAGTTACGTGTTCTACTTAAATAATTACATGTTAGAACCTGCAGTCTCAGTGCCATGTGTTCTACTTAAATAATTACAGTTAGAACCTGTAGTCTCAGTGCCATGATACCACTGAATCATTTTACCTCCAATGACAGCCCTTTGATCAGGTCATTAGATTTGATATCAGAAAAGCCAAAAACATAGGGATTGTCTATCTTGTACACTGTTGTAATACAAACATTTAGCATAGTGTCTGGAACCTAGTATGCACTCAATAAACATCTGTTGGATGGAAGAATAAACAAATGAAAGAAATTTCCCCCCCTCCTTTTAGAGAATGATACCTAATATCAGATTAGCATAAAGTGCTTAGAAATTTGCAGTGTTCAATAGATTGATATTCAACTGCCTTAAGTAACATTTTTTAACCTGCTTAAATCAACTGTTAAATTTTAAAACTGTGAGTTCCTTGAGGGCAGAGACCATGTCTTATTCCATTTTGTATCCCCAGCACCTGGTACTTTGCTTTGTACTTGCTAAGTGCTCAATAAATATTAAATATTTAAATACTAAAAACTAAATGAATGTCAAACAGAGACTGGCAGAGATATTTCAAATTATTTAGTTCGCCTAGGCTTTGCCTGGTAGGAGGCAGTGACAGATAACAGATAAGGATGCTGGCCAATGCACCTGATCTCCAGAGGGATCAGACTGGGATGCAGGAGTCCAGAAGTCCTGAGGCTTCCCAGCTGCTAAAACCTTTCGAGAATATGGGGACTCAAAAAGCTTTTGTAATCTGAGCAGGACATTGGTTTGGATACCAAAAAGGGTACCACTTTACCAATCAAGAGTGGTTTTTTATGATTATACTCCAAATACGATTTTCTTTCACAGCTAATTTTATACATGATCCATTTATTCATTTGTCCATTCATTTATTCATTCATCCCATATTAATGGGGGTCTACCCATTGCTATTTTTCTGCAAAGATTTGTTTAATCTGCTCAAGAGATAGGTGAGTGTTCAAAAGGACCCCATTTCCTGGAAAATTGACCTGGCTAGGCAACAAAAGATGTGATCTCACTTTGTAGAGGCAGATGGAAATTACAGATATAAGATCACAATTCAGAATGAACTAATCCATGTATTTCAAAATGATTATTGAAAATAGAGATGTCTAGGGGCGCCTGGGTGGCTCAGTCGTTAAGCGTCTGCCTTCAGCTCAGGTCATGATCCCAGGGCCTGGGATAGAGCCCCGCATCGGGCTCCCTGCTCCGCGGGAAGCCTGCTTCTCCCTCTCACACTCCCCCTGCTTGTGTTCCCTCTCTCTCTTTCTTTCTGTCAAATAAATAAATAAATAAATAAATAATAAATCTTTAAAAAAAGAAAGAAAGAAAGAAAGAAAATAGAGATGTCTGGTATCTACCACTCCAGACACACTAAATCAGAACATCAGGAGTGAGATTGCAAACTTTATGAGCAACTTGTGATTTAGATTGCACTCAAGTTTGAGAACTGTCGACCAAAGCTATCTTGCTAATGGGACCTATATGCAACTGCTTAATATAATATAGTTTCCCCCACATCTCTACAAAAGTAAGATGTTACTTGACTGATTCTAAGACACCTAGGAATAGTGTTAATATGGCTCAGATATTTAACACTATTTAGAGTAGTATAAACATGGCCGATGCCCCAGACCAGAATTTCCCTGAATAAATATAATCATTCTCTCCCTAAACTAGCCTTAAATAAACCCTTGCAAAAAGAAAATAACAAAGTAAATCTATCCTTCCCTTAAGAAACTCACAATTTAGAAGCAAACTCTTACAAAATAGTCGTTATTAAAATAGAAAAGCTTTTAAACCCAGAAATGGCACGTTAAAACCGTTCTCAATTTGAAAAACAATAAACAACAATCATCAGCTGTGAAAGGCAGCTCTAGACTATACTATTTTTCTACCCTGGTTCCCACAGTGCTGACGTCCAGCTGGGACCCTGAGACCTTTTCCTTGCCTTACCCCCAAACTCACTCCTTCCCAGGAGACTTTTACTCACTTTCTGAATTTTCCTAATCTGGTCAGAGAGTGTGTCTAACAGGCGAGTTTTCAGGAAGTCCATCACCTTGACCACCCGGCCATCAATGTAGCAACTGTAATAAAAATAAAATAAGAATCAGGTAAAATCTTGAGCAGGAGACTACAAATACACTTCTCTAGCCAGAGGTCTCTGTTGCTTGAGGAAACAGCCCAGAGTTCACCTGGGCTTTTACATCCTAAAAAGTTTTGACCCTGGATGCTTTTCAAACAAGTAATATGCTTTTTAACTTCTTCATTTCTACCTCCATTTGTGGCCTATATTGTGATTTTTTTTCAACCTTTGTCACATGAAACTGCATTGCTTGCTCTATAGGAGCTGACAGGAATCTGTAATACAAATTAAGTAATGGGAAAAAGCTTACTTTTCTTTTCCCCCTAGGAAGAGCAATTTAACACCCATCCCATACCACCCCTGCCCCCACCTTAAAAGTAATAAAGGTATGTGAGAGGTTTAGAAAGAATATTCAAACATTTTTATAGGTTTCCACACCTTTCAATAAGGAAACAAATCCCAACCACAAAAATCTGATTTAGTGTAGTGAGTGGGTCTCAAAGGTTTCATCTCCAACTCACCTTATAGTCAACCTTCTCCGACCACCTCCAGAATAAATGAATGGATGAATGAATGAACAAACAAATAAATAAATCAGATAGATTAAGTCTAGGAGCACTCTCCTAAAATAATAACAAATTTAGCATTCACTGGGTGTGGTGGTGTGGGTTTTGTTAGGTGGTTTAAGTGTAACATCAAGTCGTGCTGATAGAATGTTGTGAACATTTGACCAAAACAGGTCCGTCCAGCTTTGTGGGGCCCCTCTTTGTGAATCCTTACTCTGAAGACTAAGCTGAAACTAGTCCAGGTTTAGGGGACTTTTATTATCTCAAACCTCCCACCCCTATCTTTACAAAATTCTGAATTGAATCAATTGAATTAAAATAAATGCCTATGACTCCTGGATGCCTTTTCCAATCCACTCAGGTCTCCCCAGCTGATGGCTAATGATAGATTATTTTCATTTTAATAAGACAACAACCTATCAGTACGTATTATAGAACTGTGTGAAAATTCTTCTTAATATTAAAACCCCATACTAATACATGATGTAGTAGAATGGTTAAAAAAATTTTTTTAAGATTTTATTTATTTATTTAGTTAGTTGAGAGAGAGAGAGAGAAAGCACCAGCATGAGGGGCAGAGGGAGGGGGAGAGAATCTCAAGCAGACTCTGTGCTGAGTGTGGAGCCCGACGTGGGTCTTGATTTTACAATCCTGAGATCATGACCTGAGCTGAAATCAAGTCAGACGTCCAACTGACTGAGCCACCCGGGAGCCCCTAAAAAAGTTTTTTTTTTAATTGCTGTAGCTGAAGTGAGTGAGTTCCACCCAGTCAGCCTCCCCTTGGCCTCCTTCACCACCTCAGACATTTCCAAAGAATTCAATGTTTAAGTCATTGATATGTTGGAAACAACATGGGTTTTGGACCCACAGATATCTGAGTTCAAATTCCAGATCAGTTATTTACTACCTATATGACCTTGGACAAGATACTTGGCCTCTGTGGGCCTCAGTTGTCTTATTCTTTTTTCTTTTTTTCTTTTGAGAGAGAGAGAGAAAGTACAGGTGGGCAGGGTGAGGAGGGGCAGAGAGAGAATCTCAAGCAGGCTCCACAGCCAGCGCAGAGCCAACTTGGGGTATGATCTCACAACCCTGAGATTATGACCTGAGCTGAAATCAAGAGTCGGCCACTTAACCAACTGAGCCATGGCGGTCCTTTTCTTATTCTTTTGTTGTTGTTGTTTAAGATTTATTTATTTATTTATTTATTTATTTGAGAGAAAGAGACAGAGAGGTGGAGGGAGGGGCAGAAGGAGAGAGAGAGAGAGAGAGAGAATCTCCAGCAGACTTTGTGTTGAGCGTAGAGCCCGATGCAGGACTTGATCTCACAACCTTGAGATCATGACCTGAGCAGAAATCAAGAGTTAGACGCTCAACCAACTGAGCCACCTAGGTGCCCCAGGTTTCTTATTCTTAAAAGAGGTGATATATCTACTTCTCAGGATTAACTGATGATTAAGCAGGTAAACCTAAAGTGTTAGGCACATAGCAGGCATTCAACAGCTCTGTTCTCTTCTAATTTCATTTTCAGCTCACAAAGACAGGGTCATAAACAACAGGTTACTGATTGATTAAATTATGTGTGAGTATAGAATCCTTAAAAGTGGAATTAGTATATCAAAGGGTACATGATTTTGAAAATTTTGGTGGTTACTTATATTAGGGAATAAAACAAAATAATGACATGACCTTTTACTTCATTACTGATACAGATGCTAGACACAGATCCAATAAACATTTATTATGTGCAACACACAGTGCTGAGCATGTCCATTACTTACCACCCCAACCTCTTCCTATTAGTACCTCACTATTAGCATTTCTGATTTTTTTAAAAAAATTTTGATTAGATAGCTTGCTACATGGAATCTAGGTATATCAAAACATAGTAATGTTAAAATTAATAATTCATGCAATGCTAATCTAATACACACTGAAGGACATGAATACTTGTTACTATGTTACATGATTACTAGGCACATGATACAAATGCACCATAATTAGTGTTCTTTTATGTTTTAATCAAATATATTATAGTTCCCTTTTTTCTTTTTGTTAGCTCTCAGTAGCTATTTTAAACATCAGAATTTATGAATTTTGCTGGCAACACATATAGTTTAATACTTACTGAGATAAAAATGCCTGATGTACTTTTTCAATGTAGGATTCCCTGTGAATAACCCCCTATCTCACACACTCCTTAGTTGAGGGTCCTTTTATTACTCCACTCCTTCCTTTTGTCTCTTTTCTCAAGTATTCAGACCTTGGAGTTAGAAAACCCTGGTTCAGTTTCAGCTTTGTCACCTACCACCTATAAGATATTAGGTTTCCCCTTCTTTGAAGTTGGCTAAAAAAAAAACCCTCAAACCCACAGGATTCAAGGTACACTGTATAGTCAAATTAGGAAAAATTCTGGGCATATATCTTGGCATGTAAGAGGTATTTAATAAGCAAATTTACCTTCCAGGTTACTTAAAGGGCCCAAGGTGACAGCAACCTAGACTGAAAAGCCATGGGATGAGGTGAGCAGGGGAACATCTGTCTGAAGGAGAGCATGTTCATTCACTGTAGATTTGGAATGAGGGAAGACAGCAAGAATAGACTCTGGATTCCCAGTAAGTGGAAGGCAGAGGGAGAGATGGAGAAAGCTGTGTTTCTATTGCAAAAATTTGGGATTTGAAAAGACCTTAATGGCCATGTGGTCTAAAGCATGTAAGCTTGCTACAAATGACTGAGAAGTGATTATCTAGGACAGAGAACCCATTCTCATATAGTGCTTGTACTGTTCCACTGTACTATAGCTTGAATCCATGGAAGGCTCTTCTAACGAGTCTAAAATTTGCTCCCTCTTATTTTTCACTCAATGGCTGTTTTCTTGGACCAAGAAATAGTCCAACTCCTCCTTCATGTGACACGTGGGGGAGGAATTCCAATAAAAACTTTGGCTTAAGCTTTTTAGAGCCCATTTTTGGCACCATTTTTAACCTAAAAGCCTGGATTCAATCATTCTCAGTTGGTCTCTGGCTATTTCTGTGTACTATGAATTAGATTGGAGCAGGGGAGAGCTCCGGGCAGGAAACCAGTGTGACAAGGTTATCTTATCTCAATAGAGCAGACAAGAAGGGACCTGGATCATGAAAAGAAGTAAAAGTGAGAGCCTGTGAAGGAAGAACTAATAAAATAAGGCTTCTATAGAGTATAAGAGAAAGAGGAAGGGAATCTCTGATGACCAGGAGCATGTGAGAGAGGATATCTTGGAGAACACTGATGCCCAGAACATGTAGGCTAGTCAGACTAGGCTTTAGATTTGTTAAAGGAAATGAATGATTCTATTTGAGATATCAAGGACACAGAGAACATCAAGGAGGAAATATACAACAGGTAGTTGGAGATATGAAAAAGAGGTACAGATAAAATTTGAGACAGGAAAAGAGCTGGGTCTTCAGCTTATAAGTAATGAATGAAGCCATGGCTTTAGATGACCTCTCCGAGAAGATAAGAACTTAACAGAGATGTCAGAGACCTTCTAAAATGCTTGTTAAATATGGCCCTGGACATTGCCTCTACATTTGACCCAGCTAAGAGTCCTTTCTTTCCTCACTCTTTTTAATAACCTCAGTCTGAGTCAAATTTACATTTGGATGTCAAAGGAATCCCCATATCGTACTAGAAGCTTCAGCAACTTCATCTGCAACCTTGAATCCACATATATATTATACTATGGAAATATGAACTTTGGTCTGCCACTTTTAAGAGAGGGGTCAATTTAACCATAGATGTGAGTCTGATAATACCTAAGCCTTTTTCTTGGGTACCCTTGGATACTTAACTTGCTACACTTCCCTTCATAAATGTGACACTTCGAAGAAAACATTCAGCGTTGATAATCTGTCGTTATTTGAAAAATTCCTGCCTGTTACAGAGCTTTGGTTCTCTGATAGTGACTGCCTGTGGTAAGGGGCCCACCTTATCATTTAGATTTGGACACGAAGGAGGTGGAATAGCCTGCCATAACCATTTGGAAAAAATAAATCATTAAAAATGATGAAGATGGTGATTTCTAACCAAGACTGGGTAAAAGGAAACAGGACTGGATTCCAGCTGACTGTCCAGTGACCTCAGGGCAACTCTCTTTTGTCTTTCTCATTGGGAAGATAAAGATGATTCTTAGACATTAAGCAATCTCTCTAAAGAGTTAATTGCTTTAGTAATGGCTACAAAGTGTCAGAAGACCAAATAAATGAGAGAAGAAGGTAAGAATTGAGAGGGGAAAAAAAGAAGAGAGAGAGAAGGCAAATTCATCAATTAGAGGTGCTTTGGCATCTTCCACATAAACCTTGGCAGAATAGTTGGTTCTCCAAACACTTAGACTGACACTTTTAGGTAAATCATAATCTTCCTCCAAGCTCTCTTGAAATTTCAGCATCTCTTAGGATCA